GGCTGCAGGACCAAAGCTCACGGATTTCCGCTTGATGCAGAATGTGAAGTTATCCCCAAGTCGATAAACAATCCAGTCCAGAGAGCCGCACTCAGATGTTTTGCTAAGGAGGGAGTGGCGCCCGATAGCAATTAAGCCAGAAGAACAGTCAAGAAGTGCACATGAGTATGCATGCCGACCCTTGGCTAGATCTGTTTAAGCAGAGCGGATTACAAGCGCAAGACCATCTAGGGCACTACGCCTGGAAAAGGGTAGGGGAGTTTGGCGATTGTTCAGGAAGCCTCAGAAGTGTCGAAGAACAGCCAATTGGACGGGGAAATTTAGGACCAAAATTAGTAGATTTCTTACGAAGAAGCGTGATTACCTCCGGTGTCAAGCGTCAGGAATCTTAGACATGTTAATGAAACATACCAAAAACAGGGGCTATCTGAGAACAAGAAGATTTAAGGAGAAATGAGGAGGCACCATCCGAAACGGCAGATGTTGGTTCGTGGACTTTAGAATTTTCCTCCACAGGTACAGGTGAGAAGCCACCTGTCATCGAAATTAAAGGCAGACTTTTCATTTAAGGAGTAAATCAACGCCAACAAGTGCAACTGTGCTACGTCGGCCAATGAGGCGTTCAGGATTCCTCCAATGTCAAAATATCTGCGTGGAGTGCCTTAATAGGTGGAGGGGGAATATAGGTGTCAGAAAATATAGTGCCTGTAAAATCATTTAATAAACCGAAGTGGTTCCATATCGCAAATTTTGTAAGAAAAAATCGAACGACGGTTTGCCGTGAGGAAAGCTGGAATCGACAACTTTTCTTTGACTGACGCTTAAGTGCAACGTGCGAGCCACAGCGGGATTTTTTCGATATGAGAATGATAAGGTGGAAGACTCATAAATACAACATATCGGCCGCAGAGCGCAGCAGTTGTCATCATGGCCGGTCGTCAGAGAATTCATCCCATTATTTTGGAAATAAAATTATGATAAAATCACCACCTTTTCGTATCCCTTTTTGGGCCGAGTATCAGCAACAAGATGGAGGTTACGTCCACTTGCACTTTAACTGTCAGCGGCTTATTGTTTCTGTCTATATAAATTCCCATCTTTTCTCCGATGCCGTAATGTAAATGCGCATAGGAATTTTTTGTGACCAAGCACTATGAATATGCTCGAACGCAGTGTTCAGCCAGTTGGACTAATGATATTCATGTAATAAGCCCAGTAGAGATTTTTTAAATTTCTCCTTAATCAGGTATTTGATATAGACTCTGGCATATTTGAACCTGACAAAATTCCTGATACTCATGCAAATCTGCTTTACACTACTTAATAAGGTCGCCAGCATAACGTTCCAATCCACACTTTTCTTATGTTCACCCTTTCCCTAGTTTAACATGGTTTTGAGTAGATAAATACCAAGTAATCAGACCCGTTAGTAACACCTTTTCTATTTTTAGACCCCGAAAAATTCCGCCCAGATCTTCTGCTAGAAATTTAAATTCGTCTAAGGTGCATGTATGAACGGTTCTGACGTTTACTTCCTTCGCCGTTTAATCTATATAATCTCATTCGTTGTCGCCTTATAGCATCGACCTTGCTGGTTTTTATTTTAGCACCTCCTGTCGACATTATAACATCATAAATTTGCTCATCCCCCTATATTGGAAAGTTCGCGTTTTCTAGTATCTGCTCCAGATTGATCTCACGGAATGAATTTTCGGCAGCCCAGCTTCATTAATTTCCTTGAACTCTTAGTGTCATTCAAGTCTATTTTGCAAACTCTTTCTTTACTACATTCTGCGGTTGAGGGTTTTCAATATTTCAGGCTAATCGCGGTGAAACAATGCGCGATGAAGACACTTGTAGGAATCGCTGCCTTCGGCATAGTATACATGATTTTTTAACAAAATAGGTTTCCAATTTGAAACAAATGATCACGATTATAGCACGCTTATACCTGCGGCGTGCTTAAAGTGATTAACACAGCAAGTCCTGTTTACGCGATTTTTTTGCTAAAGATGTGCAAATTCAATTATTTCGATTAGCTTTCGATAACCTGTACCGGTGAGGACAGCAAATTCAGTAATTCCAATGAGAAGGCCGAGTCAGGCACGAAATTTGTCAAACATCTTAAAACTTTATGCACATTTCCGCAGCAGTAGACTTCAAAGCGCCGACGGCAACACTCCTGACTGAGAAGACGCAAATCCTACAGCGATGGACCGAGCATTTCCGAGGCGTCCTCAACCGCCCCTCCGTCATCTCCGACGCCGCCATCGAGCGTTTGCCGCAAGTGGAGACCAGCGTGGACCTCGACCTCCCGCCATCTCTCCACGAGACTATCAGGGCCGTGCAGCAGCTCTCCAGCGGGAAGGCACCCGGATCGGACGCAATTCCTGCTGAGGTCTACAAGCACGGAGGTCCCCAACTGATGGATCACCTGCCTGCGCTCTTCCAAGAGATGTGGCGTCAAGGTGAAGTCCCGCAAGATTTCAAGGACGCAACCATCGTGCATCTCTACAAGCGCAAAGGGAATCGCCAAGTCTGCGACAATCACCGCGGCATCTCCCTGGTGAACATCGCCGCGAAGATCTTCGTCCGCATCCTTCTCAACCGCCTCAATAACCAGCTGGAACAGAGCCTTCTGCCGAAAGCCAATGCGGCTTCCGTCGTCATCGTGGGACTACGGATATGATCTTCGCCGCCCGTCAACTCCAGGAGAAGTGTCAGGAGATGCGGACCCACCTGTACTCTACCTTCGTGGACCTGACCAAAGCCTTCGACGCGGTGAATCGTAAAGGACTGTAGATGATCATGCAGAAATTCGGCTGTCAGGAGCGATTCACTCAGATGGTGCGTCAGCTGCACGACGGTATGATGGCGCGAGTCACGGACAACGGAGCTGTCTCAGAGGCATTCGCATTGACCAATGGAGTGAAGCAGGGATGCGTACAGGCGCCTACCCTCTTCAGTCTTATGTTCTCTGTCATGCTGATGGACGCCTACCGCGACGAACGCCCCGGGATCCGCATCGCCTACAGGACGGACGGTCACCTCCTGAATCAACGGCAGATGCACTTCCAATCGCGCGTATCCACAACCACCGTTCACGAACTCCTCTTCGTCGACGACTGCGCCCTAAACACCCCCTCGGAAGAGGAGATGCAACGGAGCGTGGACCTGTTCTCCGCCGTCTGCGAGAACTTCGGTCTGGTCATTAACACGCAGAAGACGGTGGTGATGCACCAACCGCCACCCAACTCAGCCACAGCTCCCAACGCGCCGCCGCAAATCAGCGTGAATGGGACCCAACTGCAAGTGGTGGAGACCTTCCCGTACTTGGGCAGTACTCTCTCCCGCAACACCAATATCGACGACGAAGTCACCAACAGGATCTCGAAAGGCAGTCAAGCCTTCGGTCGCCTCCAAAGCACAGTTTTGAATGGCCACGGTCTTCAGCTGAGCACGAAGCTGTAGATGTACAAGGCCGTCATCCTGCCGACACTACTGTATGGAGCGGAGACTTGGACGGTGTACGGAAAGCAGGCACGTCGACTGAACCACTTCCACCTCAGTTGTCTTCGTCGCATCCTGAGGCTAAAGTGGCAGGATCGTATCCCCGACACTGATGTGCTGGAACGAACGGGAATCCTCAGCATCTGCGCCATAATGAGGAAAATGCAGCTGCGCTGGAGTGGCCACCTGGTTCGCATGGACGACAAGCGACTACCCAAACGACTCTTCTACGGAGACGTCGCGACGGGTTCTTGCCGCCAAGGAGGCCAGATTCGCCGTTACAAGGATACCCCGAAGTCCTCCCTGAAATGCCTGCAAATCGACCCCACCAACTGGGAGGAGTTCGCACTCGATCGACCGACCTGGAGGAGGACAGTGAAGACAGGCGCTGCGATCTACGAAGCCAACCGCATCGTTGCCGCCAAGGCGAAACGTGAAACCCGAAAATCACAAATTCGTCCAGTAAGCAACGCCGCCGCACAACCGCTTTCAACGTGTCCTCGATGTCAACGGACATTCCGGGCTCGAATTGGACTTGTTGGACATCTTCGGATTAACTGCACCTCTTGAACTGCACCAACCATCGTCCCCCGCCTGCCCCTTCCTCCTCCTCTCCGCCGCCAACTAACCCTGACAATTCTTCTGACCCAGCACTTCCATCCTCCTCCTCCTCCTCCTTCTTATTCTTCTTCTTCTTCTCCTCCTCCTCCTCCTCCTCGCCCACTGCTCCAACGGCGACCGCTCAGGCGACTGTCCCGCGCACAGCAACCGACACTGCCACCACCTCCCCCGACTCCAGCGATGAGGATCAGGACTACACCTGCCCTCACTGCGACCGCACC